GCATTTACTTTGAGGCCGTAAACAGTTTACTTTTTGTTAGGTTACTGTGTGAAACGATGCTGACATCATCATTAGCCTCGTTTTCAATCAACTGCCTCTAATGAGTTTCGGAATGTGAAAGTGGTCACACGATCATATTCAGGTCACATTTGCGTCACATATTTTATGTGTTCACAGAATGTGATCGTGTAAACGACCTTACAAGTTACTTGAAGTTGAACGAAGCAGCAAGAATTAATCCTTTTTAATTGCCTGTTAATTCGATGTCACAGATTTTTCATTTGACCAGCGATCAAATGGAAATGTCTGTGATGCAATTTTTTCAAAGGTACCGACAAGTATTTGCTGTCTTATATCTCATGAGAGCTTATATTTCATAAATTGTACAAAATATCGAAAAACAAATAACGATATCGTGATCAGCAGGTTCAACTTCTTTAGATTAGCCAATAAAATGCAAGTGCAAAATTTGGCTGGAGAGGCCTTTTAACACAGTCGTACATGGATGTGCCATCCATCCAGTGGCGGACTGGCAGGGATGGCAGGGATGCTAGGTTGCGATCGCAACCCGGGCCTTCTCAACTTCATAATAACTGGGCCCTCCGTAGATACATTCGAGAAAATGACTCTATTAATTTCAAAGATATCTATGTTCAAGAGAATACAAATCACAGAAAAGAAGATAAAATCCTTAGGAAGAAAACATTTCAGTATTGCTTACCAGGGGCATTGTGGCTAGGCGGGACACGGGAAAATTTCTCGGTGGCCTTCTTTCGAGTGAGTTTGTAAAACCCAGGAAAATATCTAATATGAACAAAATCTTTGGTGAGAAAACGCCTCACTTACATGTATACTCATATTCACAGTTCAAAGGAGGTCAACATTTACAAACAGGCAACTTTGAAAGAGATGCGTAGAATATGAACAGGGCTTCCGAGAGGGGGACAAGGAGGGGCAAACTGTCCCAGGACCTCGAGGTCTAGGGGTCCTCTTGAAGCAAGGAATTCCAAGTTAAAAATTGAATTTTTACGAAGCGCAACAAAGTATGCCTAAAAATTTGTAAAATGAGGTAAACGACTGTTAAAAGCATTCTGAATCGTGTTTCAAGCTAATTTAAAAGGCGTGGCCGAAAAAATTTTCTGCTCGCTTCCCTCGCAGTGCATTTATGCTTCTGTTGTATTTTTTGTTTGTATCAACTGCACTACAGCATTGGATTTGTTCCTCATTTTTTGCATTCTTGAAGTATCTATGGTTAGAAAAAAGGGGCTAACCCCCAACAAATATAGCAGATAAACCTTTCAAAATGATAAAAACTGGGATATTTTTAATATTTCAAAGGTGCATGGTTTCCAGGTACATATCATTTTTGGCGACTTGGGTTTGTGATTGGAGATATCATTCACAAGAGTGGGCCCCCTTATGATAATTTTCTCCCGGCCCTTTCCTTTCCAACGCCCCTGTTGCTTACATTATGCGTAGTACGGGCCCCTTTTCTGTATATAGCAACCCGAGAGATCCGCCTCTGCATGCATCCCATCACAACAACTGCAAAGCAAGGGCAATCGGCAAAGTAAAGCCACTTTCAGACAAGAAATCATGGAAACCTCGCTTTTAAGTGCTTTTTCACCATTTTCAAAACTTCTGTTATAGCTTCAACATGATATCATTATGTGCCTTGAAAGTCCAGCTACTAGAATTTGAGGAAGTTGAAAAAGGGATGTTTTCATCCAAAAAACGTTTACCGTAACCTTAAACCGAAAGACTTGAAAATTGCAGTGCGAGACTTGACATGTCATGAAATTTGAATTAAAAAGGCAATTCCTTGAACATCAATTATTTGCTGGCAAATATTGGACACTATTCGTTTGTTTTTGAAATTGCAACGGAAAGTGTTATACTTTAATGATTCAATATCATCAAAGGAATCCCCATATATCAAACTTCCCTAGCAGTGGCAAATCCAGACTACCGCCATTACCGCTCAAGCGGTAGTCAGATTATTTAAGAAATTTAAAAACAAGGATCATTTTTATGTTTATCCTAGTACTTTAACTGGCGAAGGTGAAAAATCCGTTTCAGATAATCCGATTAACCTCGTGTCATACACGTTGAGGAGTTTTTTGACTGCTTCAACGAATCACAGGTCGCCTAGGGTCAGGGAACGCTCTCCTAGAAATATGACATCAAACAAAACACGGTACCTCTCCGGATTGTTCATGTAAATTAAACCATAGTTGAAAATATTTGATCGCGCTGCAAGCCAAACATTCCTTCCTCGAGACATGCCTGAAATTGTCATAGAGACATGAATGCTTTTGAGGCCATGGCGTGCCGAGTCAGATGCTTGCAAATGAAAAGCTAGCTAGCGTGGGGGATGATGAAATCGTGGCTTGCTATAGCTAGGGGGGTTGAGTCAGTGTAGAGCGGATTCGAGCTGAACTGAGCGGTAGTCAGCCTGCCTAGACCAATCAAATCATCATAAATCACAGCCAACCAGGGGGAATGCATGCAACTTTTGTTGACAACCAATGAACAACCGAGTTAACTACCGCTCAGATGGGGGGGGGGGGTTGAATAGTACTGCCGCTCAACCAGTGGCGAAGCCAGAGGTCCTGCCACAGATCAGGACCACAAATTTCCAAAGATAACAATTTTTAAAATGTTAAAAATTGATTCACTTTATGAAATTATTATATGCCTGATTCAAAGGCATTTCTTGTCTTATTCTAAACTTATACTCGTGGCTGTGCCATTTATCAATTTTGAGACACAGGGTGACTGGAATGGAATTTCGAGTATCCCGTTCGTAAATTGATATCGTCAAAAATTTAGCCCTGTGGTCTCCTGCCCAACAATGGGCAAACGCCTTGTAGCTCTGTTTTGGTCCTGCTTCACAATAGAAGAAAACAATGGCACTCCTGCCCTTCAGAAATGGCAGGACCTCAGGTCCTGCTATTTCATGAAGGCAGGACCTAGACTTTTGGAGCCCTATGTTTCCGTATAATTTGTTGATTTTCTGCGCCGTGGTCAAAGGTCACAAAGAATTTTCACTCAGGCCATAGTCAGGCTTAACTATTTTGAAATCATGGATAAAACTAACTGTAACCGTCATGATTCTGCTGCTGAAGAAGTCTTTGCTGCTAGACGCTTCGGCCCTACACTGTCGTCAATTGATCTATACAAGAATCGAACGCTTCAAGACGAGTGGTATTTATGGAAATCAAATTGTTTAGGGTCGTTCTGTTGGCCCTATTTACTGTTAAAGTCAGGAATATCACAGACATCGTGAAAAACCTGACATTCGTCATATAGTTTTCTCTCAGACTGCAGAGAGCAAAGGAAGTCATATTCAAAGGTCTATTATAAACAGTAGAAAAAGTTTGCCGCTGCTGCCGAGAAAGAATCTTCGTTTTTTTGTACCAGGAAATTCAAGATCGAGGGGAGATGGAGTGTGCATTTCAGCAGTTCGTCCTCCTGCCTTAAACAGGAACTACCATACAATTCAGAGGTCCCGATGAAAAGGATGCTTTGAAAAGGATGAAAAGGAAAACAATGGTAGTTACTTGGAGCTTTTGTACTCTGGAAAACAATGGTAGGTGACCGAGAATTGATTCAGGACCCTATCTACCGTGCTCAGACATATCCATGCTGTGACAAAATATTTTTACTTTTTTAAATAATTTGAATCAATTCTGTTTCCAGTGTGGATTACAACTGTATATGCCTATCTGTACAAGCAATTTCTTTTTAGTCAATGATTTCAAAATTTTCAATCAATGAAAACATTTTCAAATGTTACTTATTTTAGAAAGAATTTTTGTGATGCTCTTTTGACTTCTTCAATGTAAGGCAGGAGGAACTTGAAAGGATACGAACATTCATCCCCTTTTTTCCAAAATGTGGCAGTGAAAAATGTTTCACTGCAATCTTGATTTCAACATATCCAGAAGGGCGTTTCCCTCTTTTCAGAGGGGCTCTAGAGCGTGGCTTCACGTGGCCCCAGACCCCCTTTGGGCAAGACCACCTGTTCTTGGCTAGCTTCGCCACTGTGCTCAACACGGCTCAAACGTTACAGAAAGATGGGGGGATGCCTACATATTCTGCAAGTGGGCAAACTATAACTACAAATCCGTTGTGACCCATCATTTAGCACAATACACAAATCTTAATAGGAATATATTTCATACGAATATCAAGTAGCTAAAATTTATGAAGTCCAATGAAGACCTTCGGGGCTCGAAATGAAATTTCGTCCAATGGAGACCTTCGGGGCTCAGAGAATGGGCCGTACCCTCAAACGTTCGCCAAAAGTATGATTCTTTGTTTAACAGAAGTTGGTCTTTAAAGGTTTCAAATTTTATATGGCTTTTTAAATTTACAATATCCAACAGGTCGAATTTTCATAAGTAATTGCACGACTTAATGCGAGTTTTAGGCGCCATTTCAAAATACTGCCAAAGATATCGTTTTGTTTTCTTATTCTATGGTGTTGCTTAGCCTTAATGCCGTAAATTTTTCTAGAATATCCAGCCTCAGAACAACTACAACGATAATTTGTTGCTTCTCAAAGTTATTGCAAGGATACTTAAAGTTTCACAAAAGTGTCTTGAAAATGGTCTACAAAAGAAATTATAGAAAATTATATAATCATTTTAGAAAACAGGATGTGACCATGAAATGGGTGTGGTCTAAATGGTCTGCTCGACCTTCTGTCTCATTTCGGCGGGAGTCACATTTTTTGCTGGGTCCGCCACTGCCTAGAACCCTAAAAGTTTCTTAACAAATTGGTCTGGTTCAGCATAACATCAGCTTTTGACTAACCCAGAAAAGGTGATAGGTTCCAAAGGCGATAGGTTTGAATTACAGGTTCCAAAGAGTGAGCTAATCCTGGAAACGCTTCAACTAAATGCGATAAAGAAGTCAAAAGAAACGTTTTTCAGCATCCTTATTAATAAGAAATAGAAAATCGTAATCAATAGAGATGATAGAAACAAACTTACCGCTTTTGCCCGGCCGAAGACTTGCTACCAGTTTACAACGGAACTTATGTAAAAGCGAGGACGACTATTAGTGTGAACGTTTACCCTAAGGCTGTTTTTCTTCTAAGGACTCTGCAGAAAGCTCTCTTTGCACAGAATGCCTTATGTAAGTGAGAAATCAGATTATTTCATTTTGCAAGTTCCACGTGACTAAAATCTCAAGAAAGCAAGATTATTAGCCAATAGATTTTCGCTGCATGATATTTCATATTTCCGGTTGAAATAGAGTCACGCACGGTTAAGGCCAATCTCCATTGGACGAAATTTTTTCGCTTCTTCGCCGGCGAAAGGTTATGAGCAGGCGTATTTGAACTTTTTCGTTTCGTGCGCTGTGCGCGACGTTCGCCTTGAAAGTTCGATTTGAATTTCATTCTCTGTCGCCGGCGAATTTGAAATCATATGTACATATAGTAAAATTTCTGAGTCCAAAAGCAGCTTCGTGTTGGTTGAGGAAATAATAAAATTTCTTGTTACAAGTACGATACATGTTACTTTTATAGTCCTACCAACAGCAGTGGGGCTTTTCCTATTGCCTATACCACAAGGTGCTTTAGAGTCACGCATAGTCTCTCTTAACATCCATTAGTTTGCGAAACTTCGATTCGTTCACTAGATATGGAACCACCAAAGACAACAATTGCTCAAAATTTGCATACGAAAAATAGTAAAAAATAGTTGGTAGTCATATAATTGTAGATCTATAACCAGATTTTTGTAGGCTCCTAGCTCTTGATAGAATTTATGTACCCAAAGCCTTTTATTTTCTTTTGGTTGCTTTGTTTGGTTTCTTCAACAAATAAAGCAAAATCAGATTATTTTTGGGCTGTCGGTGCGCCAATCGCAAAGACGGCCATAAATAAAACCCCAACTGTTTTTGAGGGGGTTGAGAAGAAGAACAATGGCCTTCTTCCGCCGACTAGCAGCACCTTGTTATGCAAAAAGTCGCAAGCCATACGGCCATTAACTAATGCACGAAAAAAAAGAAGAAAGTCAACATGCATGTAAAGAAAAATCCCTGAAGATATCCAGACATGGGTTGGGTGGGCAGGGTCGCAAAGGAAAAACCTTTCCTCTCCATAGCCCAACTTCGAGTTGTCGTGTAACGTGCGAGAATGAAACTATGCCAAGACAAACGTGGGGGGACTAAAAAAGTGGGGGGGGGTAAAACTGCATAAAAAGAGGCTTTACTGGTAGTTTATTACTTAATATTTGGCATTTTTTGCAAAAAGTTGGGGGGGGGCGGCTAAAGCCACCTGCTCCGCGGTGTCTGTAATGGTGTCACACTTCTATGTTCAGTGATGTTTTGTGTTGCTTGCTCTTGTCTTTTGTTTGTGATGTTTTGAATCGTGTTGTTTTGCGTTAGAGTGTTCAATGATATTTAGTAGTCATAGCCCCTAGAGGACTAGACTTCATTTTTCGTTTGAACTAGACCCCGTTTGCACTGTGCCTGATAAATTTTATCCGCATCAAAATTAGTTCAGATAGGCATCGCGTTTATTCTAGATCCACGCTATCCACACGAATTTGAGAGCGGCTATCCGAACAAAATTAGTTCACCTAGGAAAACGGATTAAATTGGTTCGGATCTTATGTGGTGCAATGTAAACGGTTTTATCCGGATTAATTTCATCCACACCGTATCTTGCTCGAAAGCGATTGGCTATTTTATCCTATTTAGTTTTCACTGTCTCCCAACCAAGACCTTTCGTCATATTGACTGCCCGGCGGGCTCAGTCAGTTGGCAAACATATATCATGTGTGTTCCTGAAAGTAGAAACGGGACCCTAATCTCTGATTCTGAGTTGCTTAACATGTACCCTTTTCTCTGACTTTGCCAAATTTTGCAACCCTTTTCACTGAGAATATTCTGAAGCTCAAGCAAGTAATTTTGAAACCAATATGGGTAAGAACCATTCTATTTCTCAAACTTATGTTTAAAGGCATATTAAAGAGCAGAATTCACTATTTTGATTTTAATAAAAATCCCTTATGATTCTTAATGTATATTGACAAAATCATACAGCAGTAAAACTATCACTGCAACAAATTGCTTACTTCACAACATTGTGTTTAATATTTTTTACAGTGGAATGAAAAAGTTGTGTCAACTTCCAAATACCCTGCAATGAGTTAAAACTAGCAGATCACAAAAGCTACATTTTCTCTTACAAAGTAGATAATCAATACTTCTTTTCTATTTGACTGAGATTGTGCAGCACCATGGCCACTATTTGAAATATAGTTTAAAATGTTGAAAACTGCAAATTTGACAGAGAATTTTATTGAAAGGAGTAATAACTACAGGAGAAACACATGGAAAAATCACAGAATTAGCCCATAGACTATTTGTGTTAAATAAAAAAAGGGAATTATTATAATGTTAAACCATTCATGCCAATGTGCAATCAACTGACAAAATATGTGGAAAATGTAGTTTATACATAACATAAAATATATACAATGTATCATTCAGCTAGTTTCCACCCATTGTCTAGTTTGATCAAAGAAAGGATAAACCTAAGAATTTGAGTTTGGCTGAATCTAAACAGTGCTATCAACATTACTCTAGTCAAGTCAGAGAATTTTGGATAAATAAAGAGAACTATCACTAAAAATTGATTGTGTCACTGCCAAATATTTAAATATTTGGCAGCCTACGCAGTTATTTCATTAACCTCTTTGCGTCCAAAAAATGTCCCTATTATCTAATTTAAAATCCATAGTCAAGCACAGGAAATAAATATTGTGCTTTCTGAGAGAACAAGGTGGTTGAAGAAAAATAACATGGCTCAGTTTGAGGTAGTAAATATAGTATAATTTATGTCAAAATTTATTACATAAGCCTCGTTTCCAATTTTCTTTTCGTTTCCAAATTAGCGGTAAATTTCAAGCCTAAAAAGGACGGGAACAAATCTTTTACCAGAAAATTTTGCGCTCGTCCACAGTCGTCGTCCACAAGCAGTGGCGGACTGGCTACGCTTTGATCCACCGGGAAAAGCAAGCAAAAGGGCGCCAATAGGTGTTAAAGTTGCTTATTTTTGGGGCTTGTAAAACGGGCCCGGAAAATTTTGCCTTAACTGAGAATCAGTTTGTTGCAAAAATTATCATAATTCCTCCTTAAAACCCTTTGCAATGGACAACAGAATGAGAGAACTAGGTTGTAAATAAAACGGGGGCTCAGGGGCTTGCCTCCGGAAATTTTTTGAAAAACACCCTATTTAGAATGTCGGGACAATTCCCATGTTGAAAATCAAAGTTTTTTATCCACAATTGGCATTGGCATGAAGAAGATTCTCTGTCAAATTGACTTTATTCGAAACGTCTACACGGCTGGTAAAATTTGTAGGTATCAAATGACGTATTGTCCTCAATTTTATGTATCAAATGATGATATCAAATGATAGATATTGAAAGTTGGACTAAAACCCAAAGTCCGTTTTTCAGTTAGCGAGACACTCACTTCCAAGATTTTATAAAGAAAGCAGCTTATCTGGCCTAGGAGACGAGATTACTTTTGATTCAACTCGATCTCGATCTCTTTAGAAATTTGACGAAACATATGACTTCGTTCTCATCAAACGGTAACATAAATTTTTTTGAAAGTTTTGCAGCATATCATTGAGAAATGTAAAAGGGTGCCTCAGCACCTGCTAGCCTAATGACTATGTTGCTCCTGCCTCCAAAAGATATGATGCCAGTACACCAGCGTGCGGAATTATGATCAGGTATTGAACATGTGCTCAAAACCGTAGACTTGTCCGAAAAATGTCTCATAACATATCTTGGACAAATGGATTTTAGGAGATCTTGCTGCCATTCTTTTTGTGCAAATTGATGATTTTGCAGGTTGATAGGCTCCCTCTCTATTAGCCATAAGTTAAAAAATTAATATGGTTAGTCAGAAGTCATTTGTTTTGCAAAATTATCGCTAGTTAGCTAGTGAAAATCCCTACTACCCCCTCAACAGAAATCGAATTAATTCAAGTATTGTGCACCAGCTTGCTAACCAAAAATTACAAGCTAACCAAAATTACAAGAGGTTTTATACTCTGAGGAGTTTCAGACAAAAAAGCTTCTAGTATGTTCAAAATATTTGCTTCTTTCGTCATTGTTCAAAGCAAAATATATTCTTTACAAGGTTTTCGTAAATCTTGCAGAATTTGCAGATTGGGAAACTTTGCAATCAATCTTAATATTGCTCAACTTAAGGCCCTGGTCAAACGATCCAACATTTCGCCCAACATTTTTTTCGATGATGGAAGGTGATCCAACGTTAGTGGTCAAACGATCCCACATTTCACCCAACATTTCGCCCAACATTCTCTCGCGCAGATCGAAAATTGAATGGGTAGCAGGTAGTATTGATATTGCTTAACAACAGTAGGCACACCAGACGCCCACGATGATGGCCGCACATAACGATGCGCCACCACATTTCGATCCGAGAAAACGAAAGGCAATCGCCGCCATAGCTATAAATGGTATCAATTGTAAGCAAAATCTAGAGTCGAAGCGAGAATCGAAGCGAGAGTCGAAGCGAACGAAATCAACCCAAGAAGTCAACAACAATGCTATGATTGAATTTTGGCGGTCTTTTACCGACTACGCTTGCGCAGAGCCAACAATGTTGGCTGAGGTGGTAAAACGATCCAACATTTCACTTAACACTTCAAAACAAAATAATTGTTGGACGTCGGCAGCCAACATTTTTGACCTCAGTCAAATTTCGTCCAAAATCGAAATTTACGGTGTTGGGTGACCCAACAAGGTGGTCAAACGAGGTGGTGAAATGTTGAATCGTTTGACCAGGGCTTAAATGTGAATCTACACTTTTTATGCAAACGTACTTTGGACAATTGATGATTGTGATCAATTTTATTTCTGTGCGAAGATTAGTTGTCTTTTGAAAGTTTTCATGTTTTTGAAAAAAATAACTTGGCACAGAGGGCGCACCGGGTGTCCCGGTGGGCCAGGCCGCTTCTGTCCACAAGGGTAAATCTTCTTCTTGTCCTCAAAGCAATTATGATCGAATTATTTTAGCTATATTCTTATAAATGTGAATATCACGATCAAATCACTTTCAAATATCATATCAACCAATTACTTTTTGTACAGAAATGAATTTAATTTTTTT